CAAGTCCGCCCTGACGGCTCCCTGTGTATGAGTGTCTTTGACAAAGCAGCTGAATGGAATTTCCCTGTTATTCGTTATCCTAGTGCTACATCTAACGTCCCTGCACACCAGCCGGCGGGAGTGTTTACAGGCCAGCTTACTAGGTTTGAGTATGTCTGCAACAACTGGTATGATTTCAAAACTGCAGCAGCGATGCTCACACGCCGCATGCTTTTTCGCGGCCACTCTCCAACAACGCTTGCGAAAGGATGGACTTCCTATATTCGTAAACGTCAACACAGGTACCTTGCGCATGTGACCCGCCTCTCCAGTTGGTTCCGCAACATTCTTCGATGGTCTATTCATCACCCGCTTTCTCGGGTATCTACACACTGTCCTCGGACTACGCCTGTCACAGCCCCTTCTTCATTATCGGCACCTGTCACACCTATCACAGCCTCTTCTTCATTACCTGTGTCTGCCGCACCTGCGTCCTTATCAGTCTTAGTAACCCCTTCCATGCCGTTTGTGACCCTGGCTGCCCCTTTTCGGTTCGCAGCCTCTTCCTCATCGGCCTTGGTTGCTTCTACGATTGATTCCGCGGGAGCAACTCGACCCGCAGCTGCTGTGTCGCCTTTGGTCTCGGTGTGTTCCTCCATGGCATTCGTGGCCACCGCAGCCATTGTGTCGCCCTTGGTCTCGGTGTGTTCCTCCATGGCATCCGTGACCACCGCATCTGTTGTGTCGCCCTTGGTCTCGGTGCGTTCCTCCATGGCATCCGTGGTCGTGCCTGCATTACCACCTGCAGAGTCCCCTCTTCGGGTCTCACCTACGACTGCCCCCCCTGTCTCTGCTTCAGCCACTTCACCACCCCTGACTTCATCTCCCCCGTCTTCACCGCTTTTATTTCCCCTGGTTTTATCGCCGTCTGTTACCCACCTTCCGACTACTCTACCACCCCTGTCTTCACCACTCCTACCTCCCCTGGTTATGTCTCCATCTGTTACCCCTCTTCCTAATCCACAAACCACTTCGTCCACATAGACTCCGTCATCATGTTCTGCCCCTGCAGAAAGCCCACTTCGCCGTCCTAGACGCCGACTTCAACCTACTTCCCAACCTCAGCTTACTCCCCTTTCCTCCATCTCTGTTCTTGGACGAAGAAGAACCCGTTCATTCTCCCCACCTTGGCCCTCCCCAACATCTCGTCCCCGTCTTTTGCCGCCCCAAGCATCCTTACCACGCCTGCAATGCTCTTCGACTGCAGACTTTTCTGCAACGCAGCAAACACAAAACGGGAGGGATGATGGCGAGGGACCATCTGAGGATGAACTTGGCAAGGGGACTGTAGGAGATTCTGTAGAAAATCCGCCTGACCGGCCTCCACCGAATCTGTGTGGCCTC